AGCCCCGGGGCTGCGGCTTCGCTGGGCTTCCGCCCCTGAGGGGAGGAAAACTGTGTCTTCCGCCTCACGGTCATTGTTTGTGCCGCATTGCCTCACCTGCTCCGCTGCTGCTCAGTCTCTCTTACTTAGCCCAACTTTGCATCCTGGTGTCTTATCCTTCCTGTGTCTTACGTTAGATTTTAATGTTTTTCTATTTTATTTCTTTCTTAGTGTTGCTAATTTTTTTTAATTGACGACGGTTTTTCTTATCTTGGGAGTTTTTGTTTTCCTTAAAAAAAAGTTTTCTGATTTAGGACTTGTAAACAAAACAGAAGGAAGATGATGCACTTTTATAGATAGTATTTTTTAAAGGCTGGGTAGAGTATTTTTTAAAGGCTGGGTAGATGCTTCAGAAACAGGAGTTATTTTACCTCTCCTCTATAGAAGACATAAACAGAACAAGTAGTGTAATACAGTATTTCAAGACTGGATGCTGTTACTTCTTTGTATTATCAATGAGTATTTTTGAGTGTGTTATATGTGGACTTACCACTAATTTCTGCTGCCACTTATCCATTTGCTGCTCTCAAGTCTCTGTCCTTTGGCTCCGTGTATAGTGGGTCCGTAGGAGGGGTTGAAGTTACTTTAATAACTATACTTTATTTAGAGCTAGTTCTTGCTGATCTTTGCACTGTGTGTTCTCCCTGTTCCCTGGTTCTCCCTAACCTTCTCTCCTGCAGGCATTTCTGCATCTCAGGTATGCTGCAGTGGAGCTGGTGCAGTTACTGCCTCAGTTCCCATTCGGTGCCTTTTAACAGTGTGTGCCTGCTTTAGGTCTTCACTGTTGTCAGATTTTTGCTATATATATACATACCAGTGAAATTCATGGGAAATGATTTCTTTAGGGGTAATTATGCAGCAGGTTAACAGACAAAAGAACCTGTGAATATTTGCTTATGGTTCAACATTGGCATGAGTAGAAAGATTGATGGCAAATCATGACACTATGAAGATGAATATGCCCTTAGTGTACTTACTCTGAAGGTCACAGCAAGCTGACACATTTGGAAGTGCTTGTCCTCCTTCAAATTGTTGTCTTTAAGCTTTTTTAAATTCTGTTTTTATTACTAACTAGGAATAGTTTAATTGATTTTGATGAAAACTGTATTTCTGGGATATGAAGATTAGGCAAGCTTGCACAATAAGCTTTCATTGTTTCACCCATCAATTTTTGATGCGCAGGAACTTCGTGAGGATGGAGAACTTCATTTCTTGCCTTTGGGTTCTTGGGATCATCTGAGGTAGTCTGGCCCTCATCCATCTTACCTTTTTGACAAGACACATCCATTCTTCAGGAGAGTTTTTCTCTGTAACACCTTGAATCTAGAGCAGTTAAACAGCACACCAGAAATGTAAGTTTGATGTGTATTGTTGTGACTTAAGATCAAGTTTTACAGAAATTTATTTTTCTTTTTGTCTACTGCATTTGGGAAGCTGTTGCTGCAGGAAGAATAATGAATCTTTGATATTGGTGGAGAAAATATAAAGACTATGTTTAAGAAATCCAAAATCCATCTGGGAATTCTTAGCAGTTATGGTTGTAATGAGATATTGTGGTGTTTGTTAACATGAGGTAAATTTCTTTTGGTTGTCTTGGTGCTTCAGGTTCTGGAGAAGCTGACTGCATACTTTGAGGGAGTGGGTACAGTTGAAAATCAGATCTCTGTGGATATTCTCACCCATAAAGAGGTGATCTGGGGTATCTGATTTCCTGTAGCCCCTTCTACAGTGTTTTTAAAAGGCAAAACTGCAATGTGTACTAAAATTTTCCTTATGAAGTGAATAAGTATCATCTGAACAGTGTTAGCTATAGTAATCACCTGTGTAATTTTTAGCAGTGTGATCCCCAAAAGATGTTTGGGGTGGGACAGTTTGCAGACCCATTCCCAGAACCTGAATTGGCTCTGTGGGGGAAAGAGATATTAAAGCAAATTCCAAACAAGCATTGAAATTAAAATCTATTCAGTGTACATTTTTGAATATAAATAAGAGAAGGGTTCCTTTATTTGCTTCTGTTCAGTCAACCAAAAATAGTATTTCAGATACTACTGATTTAGCATACAGTCTTTAGCTTTCAAAAGATTTTGGGGTGTTTTCCTCATAGGTCTTGCCTGAGGCTATTTGAGTGTCTCTCCAGACCCTTAATGTGCTAAGACCTCTTCATAGGGGTAATGTAGATGGTGCTTTTGCTGGACTAAGTCTTGAAGTTTACACAGTGCCACTGTGTCTTGAACCTACAAAACAACTCTTCCATATAGACAAGAGCAGGCTTGGTATTCTTGGCGGGCCATATTTAGGTCAGGATGAACATGGAATATGCCTGCTTTTGCCTTATAAGCAAACTCTTGTAAGCATGATAATCTTTGATTTGTGGTCTTTGCTTGGGGAAAGCTGGGAGCCTGGTGCTTTTAAAGACATGCCAACTTCTGGTGAATAACGCTCTAAAATTTATTTGTGGGACTTCCTGAGAGTGGTGCCTGATGCATTTTTTTAGATAATGGAGTTAAAGGTAGATGAGCTTCATTCCATTAAATTCTTTCTCTAGCAATAATTAATCTAAAAGTAGATCTAAAGTTTCTAACCCACTAGCAACTTTTTGATTTGTTTTACACAAGTACAAGAGGACAACACCCAACATTTCATTGTAGAACTAAACTTAGTCTTTCTTTGAGCCTATTTAATCTGTCTGAAGTGCATTACTTTCCTTGTTTCTGGGCCCAACTTCACAGTAATTACAATGTCAGACCCCCTGAATATGCACTAAATTCACCACAGTTTTTACTAGAATTCTTGTGTTCATTAGATGTGGGACAAGCTGTTTATTGTAGGCAGAAAAGGAAGAAATCTTTAGGGTTTTTAAATTTATTTTAGCAGTCTTGCTCTGCTCAGATTGCCTAAATTCTTACCTCTGAGCTATATACATGTATTATCTCAGATAATGATAAACTTTCAGAATGTTGAGGATTTGGCATAAATTTCTTATAAGAAGTCTTTGAATCTCTAAACCTCCTTTCAGAAACTTAAAAATAGGTGTCACTTGTCTTTGTCCTTTGAACAAAGGAGAATGTGAATTCTTTTCTGCTTGACCCACTGTGAGAACTAGTTGCTGAAACCTGTGGGAAAGAGCGTGGATTAACACTGTGCTAAACTAAAGCCAGCCTAATTATGAGTACAGAATGTGATTTCATGTGATGGACTGGAAGCTATTTCAGGCAACACATCATGCTCCTCATTTTATTCAAATGCTGAATATACCTGATTGGAAAGGGCTGTTGTGGAGCATTGATTTGGGTGGATCATTTAAGTACCAATTCTTTTTATTTGTCCAAGTTGTCTTCTGCAAAGTAGTTTACTTGTATAACTACATTGGCAAAGGCTTAAATGGAGTATTTGTTACATAATGTCCTTGAGTCTCAAGCTCCAAATGATACATGAGAGGCTTTCCCATGGTAATTCCAATCAAAGTGAGCTACAACAGGGTTCTTCAGTAACTCCATTGTTTTTTAACCTTGTGCCTGCAGATGGAGGAGACAGACCTAAGTGAAAGAGGATTGCCACAGATTACATCAATCATGAATAGAGTTAGAAACTTGAAAAACAAATACAGAAATGAAGAGAATATCACAGATGAATTTAACTATACTAAAATCTCAGCTGATACAACAGGTATTTGGTTTTGTTATTCTACTGTCAGTCATGCAAAAGATCTTAACATTGATGGAGTGAAAGAACCATTAACTGAAATGATTTCAAGTTTAATGTTTCTTTAATATTAATGACCACAAAGCTAATTTCATTTCTCCTTATTTCTTAGCTCTGTTGCTTTGATCTTGTTTAAAAATAGTCAGTAACTGTCTTGCACAAAAGCTTATAAAAAATATTTTCTTCTGTACATGTTTGCTGCTATTTTAATCAATCTCATTTTTTGTTTTCTGTCAGATAACTCTGGAACTGTCAATCAAATAATGATGACAACAAACAATCCAGAAGATTGGCTATGTTTTTTACTTAAGCTAGAGAAAAAGGGCGTTCCTCAGATGGATGTTAGCCTACTCAATAGACTCATTGGCCGTTACAGTCAAGCAGTGACTGCCTTGCCTGCAGAAAAGTACAGTCAGGATGAGAGCTATGCTCGCATCCTTGTGAGATTTGCTGAGTTGAAAGCGTAAGTATAAATTTTCAATATGAGAACTATTAAGTCTGTTTTTGAATTAAGGTAAGAATACCTTGTTTCATTAGTGTTTTCTGCAACAAATTGTCATTTTGAGTGTGGAAGGTAAGTAGCTTTGGTTAGTCAGCTTATCTGTTGTTGCCACAGTACTTGTATTTTTTGTATATGCTAATAAACATGATTGTTTAGAGTTATTTGATTTAGAGATGTTAACACTACCTTTTTTCTTGGTTCTTTATGTAAGGTACAAGAGGGAATAGCATGAAATCCTTTTTTGAGCTTTACTTTAGTATGCTTTCTCTCTTACTGGACAAGATCATCACAGTTTAAGTTAACTGCCTTAGGATAGGAAGAATGTCTCAAAACATCACTCTCTAGTTCCACACTTTGAAAATTAGTTTTGGTTGTGGTATTTTATTGCTTTATTCAGTCCAGATTCAAGCAGTGTGGTTGTAGAGGCATGTTCAGACACAGGATTATAATTGGAATTTTTTTGATAAGAGGTTCTTTTGTCACTTGAAATAGTACAGCAAATATTTTGATGAAGAGCTGTATTTAAACAATGCAGCAGTCTATCAGAGCTGAGCAAGTTATCTTCCAGTGAATGTAGCTGATCTTTTTCTTGTATATTCTTCCTCTATTTGACTTTTTGGCATATGGTTTCATCTTGCAGTGTGATAAATGTTTGCTTCTCTGCACTGTCCTTTGCATGGACCTTTCTGCATCACTGTTACTAAAAGCATGCAGTGGAAGTAATCTGTTGAATCTCCTGCTGAGAAACAGGAGTGAATAATGACCTTGTCAATCTTCAGTATCTTGAAGGAGGAAGGTGGTTGTAAGTGGAGTAAAGAATCTCTTCCAGAAGGGTTTAAAGATACATTGCAAGATGGCATTCTTATTTGAAGATCAGTTTGTTTTCCTCACAGCAGGAACTGTTATTTAGGTTTCTGGATCCTAGTTTGGGGAAATTCTTTTCCTTAATAGTGATCAAGTCACATCTGTTATCTCATTGTAGGCGAGTTTAAGTTCAGAAAGATTATTTCCCACCTCCCTAATCACTTGGACCTATTTTCACTTGATCTTAGAACATGGTTTGAAAGGTGGGATACTTTTAAGATGCGTGCAAGAGCATCATCTTCAGTATTCTGTGTGATGTATTGCAGAAAGCAAAACCAAAGGGGCTGTCAGTGGCTTGTTGATACATCAATAGTATAAACAGTTCTAGTTGTGATGTCTCACTGAAATATCTTCAGTTGTTTTGCTGCTACAGCCTCTAGGGACCTTTGTGGGAAAGTAGTCTGTCTTGTTTCACTATTAAAATGCACTCTGCAGCTGTACTAAAATAACTTCTACTTTAGTAGCCAGCATTACAGAATTTACCTATCTCGTGAGGTGGCTCAGGTCTGCTCTTTCTGTTTTCTGCTGCATATTTTTTAAATGGCAAATATTATCAGTCATGTTTCTTGAAATGCCTAATTGTCCGGTTTTCGGCTGTTTGAAGGGCCTGGAAAGGCCCGGAGTGGCCTTGGGGCAGCCC